GGGCCTTTACCAAAAACTTAATCGGGGAACCAGTATTTGTTAACTATCATGTGCACATCCATTTGAGTCTCTGAAGCTATACCTTTGAGAAACATTTCAGCCAAAAAGATTTCTAAGGTTTTGATCAATTTCTTTACTTTTGTTGGCTTGCCCAAAGAAATTCAATCTGATCAAGGATCAAATTTTATGTCAGGGTTGTTTCAACAAGTTGTTTATCAGCTCAGTGCTAAACAGATAAAATCTAGTGTGTATCATCCAGAATCGCAAGGTGCTCTTGAGAGATCCCATTCTATCTTGAAGAATACGATGCAGACTTACTACCTTGATAACGAGAAGGATTGGGATGAAGGAGTTAATTTATTATTATTTGCTGTTCGTGAGTCTGTTCAGGAGTCCTTAAGGTTTAGCCCGTTTGCATTGGTGTTTGGCCATTCAGTGCGTGGCCCTTTGAAGTTGCTGAAGGAACAATTGTTGGAAGATAATCCAAAAGAAATGCACTTATTAGATCACATTTCCAAGTTTTGGTCCAGACTCTTACATGCTTGTGAATATGAAGTCATCCCAAGTTAAAATGAAAAATATTTATGATCGTAAGGCTGAAAAGCATAAGTTCCATCCTGGGGACATGATTTTGGTACTGTTACCCACTATGGGACATTCCCTCAGAGCTAGGTATCATGGTCCCTATGAGGTTGTTCAGAAAGTTGATGATACAAACTATGTTCTAGAAACACCTGATCGTCGAAAGGCTACCCAGCTGTGTCATATTAATATGTTAAAGCCCTATATTCGAGAAGCATTCAAAGATAATTTAACTATTGAGTGTTCTCCTGATACTGATACAGTAGCTCTGACTCAGACAAACGTAAATTTGAAAATAATTGGGACGAATGCAACATCAAACTGAGTAATTCTGACATTCTGGCCAATCTCGATTCGAAACTCGATCACTTGCCTCCTGAAGAGAAAGATCAGCTTGCTAGTTTATTGCATGAATACAAATGTATATTTCCAGACATTCCTAGTAAAACCAACATCGCTGTACATGATATAAACATAGGTGATGATTCTCCTGTAAAACAACATCCCTATTTGGAGAATTCAATCAATGCCAAGAAAATGCATATAGAAATATCTTACATGCTGCAAAAGTGATTGGTCTTCGCCTTGTGAACTGGTCCCTAAATTTGATGGCTCTCAGTACAGAATTTTGCAAAGTGAATGCTTTGACAAAGACAGACTCCTACCCCATTCCAAGAATGGAAGATTGTATTGATAAAATTGGAAAACCACCAGATATATCACAAAGTGTGACCTACTAAAGGGATACTGAGCTGTCCCTCTAACTGACAGAGCAAAACAAATCTCTACTTTTGTTACTCCTGATGGGTTATTCCAGTGCAATGTAATGCCTTTTGGGATGAAAAGTTCTCAAGCAACTATTCAGTGAATGATGAATCAATGCCTCTACAATCTGTCAGATGTTGGAATTTATGTTGATGATATTGTGATTTCCAGTGACACATGGGAAGAACATTTATATGTATTATGTGATGTTTTTGAGAGGCTGAAGAAAGCCAATCTCACTGTAAATCTGGCAAAAAGTGACTTCTGTAAGGCCAGAGTTGTTTACTTATGTCATGTAGTAGGCCATGGCCAAGTTTTCCCAATTCAAGCCAAAGTTGATTGCATTGTGAATTATTCAACTCCTACCAACAAGAAAAGTTTGATGAGATTTTTGGGAATGGCTGGTTATTACAGGAAGTTTTGTAAAAATTTTGTTGACATTACTGTACTAATAACAAACCTTTTGAAGAAAAATCGAAAATTCGGATGTTCAGAAATATGTAAGTCTGCTTTTGAAAAGGTCAAATCTTTGTTATGCACTTACCCTGTATTGACGGCATCTGACTTTGGTAAGCCTTTAGCATTAGCTGTTGATGCCAGCGATTGTGGCACTGGTATTATTCTATTACAATCATAGGTATTGAACACCCTCTTTGTTATTTTTCTATAAAGTTTAGTTGTCATCAAAATAATTATTCTACAGTATAAAAAAGAAACATTGGCTCTTGTGTTAGCTTTAGAACATTTCAATGTATACTTATCTGCATCACAACAACCTATTGTCATTTATACTGATCATAACCCTTTGACGTTTTTAAACCGAATGAAGAGCAAAAACAGATGGCTGTTGAATTGGAGTTTGTCATTACAAGAGTATAATTTGAAGATAATCCATGTCAAAGATTTGTGCTGATGCACATTCATGTACTATAAAACTTTATGGTAAGGTGATTTGTACAGGTTATATTCTATACTGTAATTATTATTGAAGTTGTATAATCTTTTAAATAATGTATTATGTATAATGTAATCTGGCCAATGTATATATAATGTATTAATTAAAAATTGTCTAAAGCCAATTTTTAATTCTCTAAAGAGAGAGTTGTAACGAATTTATCATTATGTATTTATTTTTAATATGAACATTGTTTGGATTGAATTTGTATTTAGAAATATGTGTGACTTGTAGTATCAGATATATCTTGCGTATTTATTTTAATGTCGATATTTGTTTCAAATAAGTTTATATTTGAGGGTGTGTCTAGCTTACCGTGTTAGTTACATATGGCGAAACTCCCGCCAATTCTCCAAGATTGTAGAATATTCGTGAACACAAGAATCAACAATATATCCACTTCTGTAACTGGTGTTATCAGAAGTTTCTAGAAAATGTGTCTCGCCTATAAAAACAGTAAGACAACAGAGAACAGAGAGCTAATATACAAGTCTGCTAGAAATATGTTATAACCATGTGTACGCAATAAGCCGTGATTTTGCTAACCCTTACCAACCAGAAAATATACGACATTTGGCCAGGAACAGCTATAAGTTTCGAACGTCAGTGAATTCTTATTGAACGTTAGTATCTTTCCAAAAATATTGCTGGTTTCTCATTGGACATTAGTGTTTTTATGAAAATATTATCTTACTTCGATGGTCCAACAATTCAGTGCCTGACAAAGCTAGCTAGCTTCCCAATGATTGTATGTACCTCGACTTCAAGTTAACTCCCTGGATATCAAGGAGACTCTGAACTAGAAAGATGATTTGAGGTTATTTGTAAGTTAGTGAAATTTCTGTTTATGAAACTTTGTTTGTAATAACTAAACATAATAGTTGCCATTGTAAATTATACTGTTGTATATATATGTATATTAAAATGTATTTGTGTCAAAACAAAAATGGTGTTAATCAATCTTGTTAAATTGAATAAAATATCGGCATATTTCTAAACACTAAATCCAGGGTACAGTTCAACTATTAAAAGTTAGCTTATTTAATGCAGCTTTGGATTATTTCAAATTCTCAATACGTAACAATTATAAATTTCATTAAATTTACAAAGAAAAACACATCCGACATGTTCAGTGCTGAAGAAAAGAATGAAGATCACAAGTGCAAAAGTACAGAGGGAGCTAGTGCATAGGGAGGTTGTATTGCCCTCCAATTGGTGGAGGGCTTTTGCAGCATAATAGCGTCATTATGCACTAGTGAAAATCACAATAAATTTCCTGAGTTTAGGTGGGAGTTGCCTAAAGGTTAATGGCATGCAAATGTCTAAAGCAGACACATGAGGAAGATAGCTTTCTGTGTGTAGAGATGTGTATTATATCGTAATTTTTCATTTAATTAAAAAATTCAAAACTATTTTAACTATGTATTCACTAGCTAGTTTATGATTATGTGTACCTATGTTATGAAAAAAGCATAGGTCTAACAGGACCACCTTCTTTATATACTTTAGAAATTTCATGCAAAATACCTGGATGAGGAACTAATGGTCTAAACCTTAAATATACTTCTTGTTTTGAAATTATTTTTATTTTGATAAATGATTCTGTAATTTTGTTACTCTAGTCTTAGTATGATTTCTTTTCTAACCATCAAATTTTGTGCCTTCTTTTAAAATATCATTAATTTTAAGAATATAATATATTTATATGAACTATTCTGTTATCTGTACCTGGTTTCAATACAATTATTTTATCGTTTCTATTTAAGCTTGTTATTGCTATTAATTTTTTTACAAGATTATATGGTTTATAATCATAATTATAATCTTTGAATGATGATAAGGCTATTCTACTTATTTGAGATCTAATACTTATAAACAATTCATTACTATCATTCCATATGTTATGTTTTGAAAGCTATTGTAATATTTATTCAAAAGACAATACATAATCCTCACACTTTAGTTTTAAAAGTGGAATTACAAACTTATAACTACATGCTAATATCTTCTTTTAAATTTCATTCAAAACATAAACTGAAATATAAATCTCAAATTACAAGGATGATTTCAGAAGTTATTATTTCCTTGACCTTTTGTTCATCAATTAAATTTATTCAAATGCTTTTGTCTAATTTGCTAAGGAAATGAAAATAAAATTCCAGTGAAACCATATTCTTTGGGTAAAGCTCACTGAAAACAAGAATAAATTTATTTTGTCTTTTCATAAGCATGTTTGATTGCAATGGCAGAAAATTCACGATATATTTAACTAAACATGGAATGAGTTTGAAAGTTGAAATGTTCATCTATAAGCTTTAGCACATAAATATTTTTAATTTTGATTTAAAATTTTAAAACACCATAAAAGACTAGAATACATAATGCAAATATAAAGAATATAAATTTACTAAAAAGATAAAAATCAGGTTTTGAATTTATATTACACATTTGCTTTCTAGAAGTGAGACTTATAAATTGGCTTATAAATTGAAAGGTGTATTTTACATATCTTTTGGTAAGTTATTTATGAAAAAATAAAACTCAACTAAATTCTAACTGCAAGAAAGATTTAATCTTTCATTATTCTTAGTTTAATTTCCTAACTAAGTTTTCCAATGGCTATCCCAACATCACAGCATCTTTGAATATAAAAATTCTGACCCATCATCCTAAATGTATTCAAAAGTGAAACACTAACCTGGAACTGTACAGCCTCTTGCATTGCTCCAAGATGGACTGGTATATGTGGAGCATTAGATACAAGCCCTCCATCAGGACCAAAAAGAGCACAGGAAAAATCCAATCTCTCCTTCAAATACAAAAAACTTGTATTAAGGTAACAACACTTTGAAACAGACTTTTTCAAATTATGTTACTGTAATACCTGGAACTAAAATATTATTAGAATAACCATGCTTGTAATAGAAGATCACAATCCTCCAAATAGATAAAATGATTTTCTATAAAGTGGAGAAATACAATATTTCTGAAGGGCAGGAAGGACAAGATCCAAAGATATAAATCCATCTGTTAAGCTATCCCAGATAATTTGTAGATTACAACAAATAAAAATGAAATACTGCAAATGAAAGTAACACATGATATACATAAACTAAGTTGTTCTTATTGTAATTGGGGAATATGCTGTTTTATCCCTAGCTGGTTGTTTTATAACATAATGTAGTGTCATCTAACAAGTTGAGTGAACTACTATGATATAATAGATAAAATTCCAGACAAGGCTAGCACTGTTATGATTAATTGTTTGCTTTTATGTGTAATTTTAATTTTGTACAACTAACAAAGGTCTCATTTTTCTAGAGTTATCCTTTATCTATCACTGTGATTGAATTTTTGGATGCAGATTTCAACACAGACCAAAACAACGTCCATTTCTACCCTGTAGACAGATGCTGGTCATAGAAACTAGTAGAGTCAACTGTAACTATAACTCACCTAAAACAAGATTTAATGTTTGTCATAAAAGCTTGAAAATAATTGTTTATGTATGCTAAAATGATGTCAATACTTATTGAAGATATATTGCATTTTACATTAGTCTGTAGGATATTTAGTAATGTTCTGAAAAATGAATATTAATTTCACTACCACTTATTATTCTGAGAGGCTGAAAATAAAGTTGCCACATTGTATTTGTTTTAAATACATGTTGTGTCCTAGTCACATTGATTACTGAAGCCAGAATTTAAACAGATAAATTATGTCATAAATTAATTACCAATAAGTTAAAGAACCAAAAATGACAAAAATGATTAACATGAAATAAATAGATACCTGTAATGTTGTAATACATAATAACTTAAATAGAAGAACCACAAAATAATTAGAATAACATAATTTCACAATATCTGTAAAGAATTGGTTTGCAAAAATTTAATATTACTACCTAGGGTTTCACATAATAAATTATTTAATTAAATGTATTTTTAGAAACATTATAATTAATTAAAATACATTTTTATCCATATTAAGTTATCATTAATAAGTAGTTGTGTTCTAGCATTAGAAGATATCTTTAAAGCAAATTATAAAGTTAAAACTTATTTTGCACTAAGTTTGGTAAAGCTATAATAATGTCTTTATAATACATTAAATATTTAAACAATTACACATATTTTCATCAATTAACATTTATATTTTACTCTAAGTGCAAAAGCCAAAAATTGTTCAAAATGTCAATTGATTATGCAACAAATGCACAATAAAGTAACTGAAGATTTAGTGAATGAACAGATATAGGAACTTTGGTAATGGTTTAAAGTTAAGCAATCATGATTACTTTTTAGAACAAAAGTATGTATTTTCTCTCAGTAATGTTATGAAAGTGAATACAGAGGCTAAGCATTTGATGTATATATTTAAATGTTTTAACACATTTGTTTACTAATTTTTACACACATTTTATCAGAGAAAAAAATTTGAATTGCGTGAGAAAGCTGTAAATGTTATTATGTCATCATGTATGTTCTTCATAATATATGTGAAAAATACAAGTTGTTTCTTTCGATTATTGTTTAGAAAAGTTATTTCTTCACTCACAAAACATTTTCAAGCTTAAGTACATTAATGCACATAAATAGTATCTATACAATCAGTTTGAGCTGAGTTCACCATTGAAGTTTGGCATACATTATCTAGAATCATAGTTATTGATAGTTCTGGGTCTTTATTGGATGGTAATGTTAAAAAATTCCTTTGGGCAAATAAGTCCTCATGGGTTTTCTTGCCTCACACATCTTAAGATGATGAAGAAATATTAGAAATTCTGTTTTTCTTTTTTTTATAATGGAGATGATCAAGTGATGTTGATGACATTGCATTCTTAAGAGAATTATTTGTGTCTGAGGTTGAATAAAACTTCAGCAAGGTAGATTCTTATTGCAATGGCTACATTTTTCTGTTCTATTCAAAGTTTTCCATTCAGCAACTAGAATAAGTTGATTATTATCGTGAATCAATATTTAAGCTGGCATTGTGTTACACATTGCATTTTTTTCCACTATGTTGATCTAAATGAATGTTGATGAAGTGTCTTTTTGTTAAACTTTGTTGCTCAGCATCTTCACTTTTCATTCATTAGAGACAGATTAGGACATATACTCTGCACTGCACTTCCTTCCAACACTATTGTCAAAGAAGACTTAAATAATTTTACCTGTCAATTTTCAGTGTATCTGAGAATAACAATAAGTAAATCACTAAGTAATATGTTTAACTTCATTTTGTTATAATTAATCTAATTTAACCAAAAGGTTGTTGGGTCTTTCCAGAGAGATATTGTAGTAGACTAACACACATCTATGTAATAATGTAAAGATACTGCATTTCACTGTATCATGTTTACAGCACAAAGCTATCATTTATTCCTTATTGGTTGAAGAGAAATGTTCTTAATAGAAAAGTAGCATTATAAGATTGGTTGTAGCTCCTAAGTTAAAAGCTGTAGGACAGTACTATAATAGTTTTGAGACTGCTTTTGTAAACGGCTGTTGAAGGTCTAGCATGTAGCTTTTAAAACCCATGTCATGAATTATGTCTACTAATTTTTTATTTTTTGGTAAACTGTGTTTTGTTTTGGATTTATTACTTCTGGTTTTATCTTTGTAACACATATACACTAACCTAATCTTAACATTGTGTTAAGTCTCCGTTTGTTAATTAATTTTCCGTAACTTAGTTCCGATGAAACTTTAGTGACACAAGTCCTTTCTTAAATAAAACTGGTTTATTCTTTCTGAATATAACTTTACCGATACACTCAACTTCAACAGTTGCGCTATAACAAACTATAATTCACATATCACGAGCTAGACTTCGACAATACGTCTCTCTCTGACTGCAGTTCAATTACTCATTACCTACACACACATTATTGTCCCGTCACGTTGTCACCCTCTTATATATACCAGACTACCCTACATCTAGTAATCTCCCGACAATTCACGAAGGTACAAGATATTTTCAGAAAGTATGGGGCGTGACACTAGTCACGTGACCTCGCTGATGCAACACTGCCTCCTCCTTAATATTGTTCGTCCCGAACAATAACCACATACAATAAACCAATTTCTGTACATTTAATTAAGTTATTGTTAATTGTTAAAGGGAAGTCTCCTAAGTTGTTTTCTCCATGGGAAGGCCCATATGACATAGTGGATCGTCTCTCAGATTGACTTTCCGGATAAAATGTGGTCGGCGAGGTAAACCAAAAGTGGTACATGCCAACAGGCTTTGGCGTTATCACAGTTCAGGACATTTCAGTTGGGACGAAGTGGAAAACAGAACAAATGACGCTGCTGAAGACGTGCCACCTGAAGAAGCCACCGTCGAAGAAGAAACTCTACTCAGTTTGGAGAAGGGAAACGGTGAAGCTCTTGGTGATGTTACTAACACTGATGTGACTGTTACCGATGATAGGACATTTACTGATGAAGCAGATGAATCCCACATGAAGCAGAAGCCAACGAGACAGAGACCAGTACGGAAGAAGATACGTCCCGAAAAATTAAGAGACTTTGTTGAATTGTAATTTTGTCTTTGTAAAAAGTCACGTCTGAGAGACGATCCACTATGTCATATGGGCCTTCCCATGGAGAAGACAACTTAGGAGACCTTCCCTTTGGTCTTCCTCGTCTTTCGGATGCCAAACAACTTGCAGCATTCTTGGAACACAGCTGATTCAAAGTTACAGCCTTGATCTGAATGCAGTTCATATGGCATACCAAATCTGAAGAAGAAGTCACTAATAGCCG